GAAGTCTTGAGGGTGTCTCAGGATCCCTGGGGAGTCCAGAATCCTGAGGTTGTCTTAGGATTCCTTCCGAGTGTGGATTAGGCTGGCGCTTAGGCTGAGGCTTTGATTATGCCGAGGCTTAAGCATATGTGGGCTGAGGCTCAAGCAGAGGCTTGGGCAGGCGCTGGGCCTCGGCATGGGCATCGCTTAGGCCGGGTTGAGGCTATGCTTTGGCAGGGCGGAGACTGGTGTTTAGGCTGGGCTGGGGCTTGGGCTCAGGCTGCGGCTCATGCCAGGCTGGTGCTGGGGCTCGGGCTAGGCTGAGGCTGAGGCTTGGACTGAGGCCAGGCAACGCTTAGGCTGCGGCTGGGGCCAGTCTGAGGCTGAGGTTCGGGCTATGCCTCAGCCTGTGCTGGTTAGTCTGGACTTCAGGTGATGCCCAGGCTGTGGCTTAGGCTGAGCTGGGCTGACGTCGAGGCTTATGCTGAGGCTGTGGCCTATACTTGGGATGGGCTCAAGCCAGTCTTTGGGTGACGCTTGGGCTGGACTGAGGATCGGGTTCAAGCTGAAAGCTAAAGCTACAGCTTAGGCTGGGCTTGGGTTAGGCTGAGGCTCACAGGGCTGACCGAGGCTGCGGCTTAGACTTAGGCTGAGGCTAGGGCTAGACCTCTTATTGCTCTATGCGTAGGCTGAGGCTCAGGCTGAGGCTTAGGCTCAAGCCTAGGCTAGGCTGATGCCGACGCTTTGGCTAAGGCTGGTGCCAAGGCCGATGCTGAGGCTAGGCTGAGGCTGAGGCTTAGGTTGTGCCGAGGCGGAGGCTAGGGCTTAGGCTGAGGCTGACGCCAGGCTTAGGGTGATGCTGAGGCCCGGTCAAGGCGAGGCTGCTGCATAGGCTGAGGCTGAGGCGTGGGCTCGGCTAAGGATAAGGCCGATGCTGATGTTTAGGCAAGGCTGGATCATCGGCTTAGGTTGACGCGGACGCTGGGGCTTAAGCTTAGGCGTGGCTAGTGCTTGGCTTAGCCTCAGGCCGAGGCCGAGGCCGAGGCCGAGGCTGTGGGCGTGAACGTTGCTAGACTTAGGCTGGGGCACATGCTAGGCTGGTTTGAAGCCCAGGCTTACGTTTAGATTTAGGCGAGTTGAGGCCCAAGCTAGGATTAGGCTGGCGCTTAGGCCGCGGCTTGGGTCATGCCGAAGCTTAGGCTTACGTATTTGGGCTGAGGCTCGAGCAGAGGCGTGGGCAGTGTCTGGGACCTCGGCTTGGGCACCGCTTAGGCTTCGCCGAGGCTATGCTTCGGCTGGGCTGAGGCTGACGTTTAGGCTGGGGCTTGGCTTAGGGCTACGGCCGCGGCTCATGCCAGGCTGGTGCTGGGGCTCGGGCTAGGCTGAGGCTGAGGCTTGGGCTGAGGCCAGGCAACGCTTAGGCTGCGGCTGGGGCCAGTCTGAGGCTGAGGCTCGGGCTATGCCTCAGCCTGTGCTTATTAGTCTGGGCTTAGGCTGATGCCCAGGCTTGGGCTTAGGCTGAGCAGGGCTGGCGTTGAGGCTTATGCTGAGGCTGTTGCCTATACTTGGGACGGGCTCAAACCAGTCTTTGGGTGACGCTTGGGCTGGGCTGAGGCTTGGGTTCAGGCTGAAGCTAAAGCTATGTACAGCTTAGGCTGGACTTCGGCTGGGCTTCGGCCAGGCTGAGGCTCAGGCTGGGCTGACCAAGGCTGCGGCTTAGACACAGGCCGTGGCTTGGGCTAGACTTCTTATTGCGCTAAGCGGAGGCTGAGGCTCGGGCTGAGGCCGATTTGGCTGGGGTGATGTATAGGATGGGTCTCAGGCTGGGATGAGGCTTAGCGTGAGGCTTGGGCGCGAGCTGAGGCTGAGGCCTGGGCTGGGCCAGATTGTGGCTCAAGGATTTGCTGGAGCTTAGGCTGTGCTCGTTCGCGGGTTCGGCTTAGCTGAGGCTGCGCGTCCACGGTGCGGGCGGGTCCCTCCGCGTTCTATGGTCACCATGTCTGGGTGCTGCTTCCACAAACCACGCGCTCGTCGATGATGGCGGCGCGGAGACTTGCGCCCTCGCCTGTCCTTGGGGGGCAGCCGCCTGGAGGCGGGGGGCCGAGGGTTGCAGGGGCAGGGCGCGCGGCCGCGGCCTGGCGCCCCGGGCGGTCGTGCGAGGTCGCGCGCGGCTCCCTGGCGCAGGGGCTTGGGCGGGATCCTGGGCTCATGCATGAATGCCAGGGCGTGCGACGTAGCGCTGGGGCCCACTGCTAAGGCCCGACGGAGTGGGTCGCAGGCCTCGCGCGCCCGCGGCGCGGGCAGGGCCCTCCATGTTCTTGGGTCTCGAATGTTCTTCGGTCTCGGTGTCAAGGCGCTGGCCCCAGCAACCGCGCGCTCGTGGGCGATGGCGGCGCGGGGGCGCACACCCTCGCATGTTCTTGTTTTTCGGGGACAGCGGCCTGGAGCTGCTGGGCCTCAGGTGGCGGGGCCAGGCCGCGCTGCCGCGGCCTTGAGTCTGGGGCTGGCAGGCCAGGTCGCGCGCGGCTCGCTGGGGCATGAGGTCGAGGGCGAGAGCTTGGGCGGGTGCGCGCATGAGTGCCAGGGCGTGCGACGCGGCGCTGAGGCCCGCTGCTATGGCTCAGAGTCCGAGGCCGCAGGCCTGGCGCGTCCGCGGCGTGGGCAGGACCCTCCATGTTCTTCGGTCTCGGTGTCAATGCGTCGCCTCCAGCAGCCGCGCGCTCGTGGATGACGGCGGCGCGGAGACGCACACCCTCGCGTGTTCTTGTTTTGGGGCAACAGCAGCCTGGAGCTGGGCCTAGGGTGGCGGGGGCCAGGCCGCGCGGCCGCGGCCTTGAGTCTGGGGCGAGCAGGCGAGGTCGCGCGAGGCTCCCTGGGGCGCCGCGGGGTTGGGGCGAGAGCTCGCGCGCGTGCATGAGTGCCAGGGCGTGAGACGTGGCGCTGAGGCCCACTGCTAGAGCCCGACTAAGCTGGTCGCAGGCCTCGCGCGTCCGCGGCGCGGGCAAGACCCTCCATGTTCTTCGGTCTCGATGTCAACGTGGTGCCTCCAGCAACCGCGCGCTCGTGGATGACGACGGACGCGCAGAGGCAGATCCAGGGCACAGGAACACAGCGTGGGTCTCGGGGGGCGGGGGGGGGGGAGGGGGTCAGGGTTTCGGGGTTGCGTGGTCCAGGCTGTGCAGCCGAAGGCTTTAGGCTGGGGGCTGAACCAGATGCGTACTTACGCACGTTGGCTCGGAAGTGAAGGTCGGGGACACCTCGGAAGGGCATCCTCGACGTCCTTATGGTTTGGGGTACTTTGACCCGCGGAGGGTCTCATGTTCTTGCTAGATGGTATTGTGTCCTTGTTCCGGCCGTATATATGTATATATATATATATATAGTTAGATATATGTATATATATATAGGTTTGTGTTCTATATACTTTTATCGATGGTTGCGTCAATGTGGTGCAATATGTGCGCTACACTGTGCGATGTGCAGAGCAACAAATGTTGCGCAATGTATGGTGTGAAATCTATGCTGTTCACGATACGTGGTGCCATATGGGTGGTGCAACATATGCTGTGCAATCTACGTTGTGCAGTGTATGTTGTGCAGCTGATGCTGTGCAGTCTATGTTGTGCCACACAGGCTGTGCAAAATAGGTAGGACAATCTATGTGGTGTGGTCGATGGTGTGCCAGATAGGTGGTGCAATCTATGTGGTGTAGCATATCTCGTGCAAAGCAACGCAGAGCGATGCAAAGCAGGGCAACGCAATTTAACCAAGTCAAAGCAATGTAAAGCAATGTAAAAAAAAGATGCGAAACGACGGGGCGGCGACGGCGACAACAGGCGCGGCGACCGACAGGCAGGCCCAGACGACGGGTGGCCTCGAGGCGGCGACGGGGCGGCTTCGGCGACAGGCGCGGCGACAGACAGACAGGCCTAGACGACAGGCGGCGACGAGGCGGCGACGGTGCGGCGACGGTGGCAGCAAGCGCGGCGACCGACAGACAGGCCCAGACGGCAGGCGGCGACAGGGCGCCGACGGCGACGACGAAGACATAGCCGCGCCAGTCCGACAGGGAAGCCCAGATCCTGCGAGGAGAAGGAAGGATCCCTAAATGCAAGCATTGTTTGGGGAATAAAAGGAGGCCGACAGACAGGCCCAGATCCCTGGAGGAGAAGTAAGAACCCTTACGTGTAAGCACTGTTTGGGGAATAGTAGGTGTAATTGCTCCCGCGGTGTTTGTAGTAGATCACGGGCCGCCCCCACTTCGTTGCCTGAGGAGTTGCCTCGTCTCGTTGAACATGGACAACCATCGCAGCCTCTTACCCTCCCACGCTGTATAAGGCCATGGTCAAGACCCTGCTGGTCCATGCTCGTGATAGCATCGCTACACCGGCTTCTGGTTGGCGACGGCCTTAAGCGCCTGTTTTCGTGCGCGCATTGACCCGCCCGCCCTGGGAACCATCAGTCCCGGGTAAGCGGGTTGTTCTTTCGGGTTTCGGGATGCTCGCATGGCGCCCAAGTCGTCTCGCTTCAGTCAGTCTGTGAACAGACTGATGCATGTTGCGCTCGCTGTGACGCGTGGCACCTTTGTGTCAGGGTGTATCTCAACGGGCAATGGTTATCGCCACCTGCCTGTCCTTGCGCGGGAAGGCACGGGATTGATTGTGGGTGATGTCATGCGTTGGTATATTTTCGTTCGATGTATCTCTCGTTTGCTCCCCCCGTCTTGTTTTTGATTCATTTTGGGGATGCTGGTCTGGAGCCGTAACCGTATCGCTCCAGTCAGTATGTGCACATGGGTGGGTACGCTGTGACACGTGGCACCTCTGTACTCGAGTTTTTTCTCCACGAACTACAGCAACCGTCACCTAGCACCTGTTCTGATAGCAACGATTCCTAGCTCAAGTGAGGCAGGCCGACGCGCGTCGCAGAGCGAGCAAGAGAAACAGCGCAGGCAGGGGTTATAAAAAAAACTGAGCAGAGGCCGAGTGCACATTGCACCAATGCGTTTTCCGCCCTTGCAGGAGATGCGCACCAGCACAGGGTTGGTGCCGGACGAGATATTCTACAACACCATCCTGGACGCTTATGCGCAGCGTGGCGACCTCAAGGCGCTCTGCTGCGCCCTCTCCGTCTTAGCCTCCGATGTTGTTGCTAGTCTGCCGCCCTGCGGTTGATCTGGATTCTTTCCACATGTTGCGCCCTTGTCCCTGTTTCCTGCCTCCTTCCCTCCAACCTTCTGCCCCGCTCACCCCTCCTTCCCAATCAAGCCCCTCTCGCGAAACAGTACCCCTCCCACTGCCCCACGATTCCCCTCATTACCCTTGCATCCTTGCCTCCTGGGTCCATCCTTGGCCGCTTCCGCTGGCCAACCTCGTTCGAAATGCGTGAACGTGGCCCTTCAAGGCCCTTGCATTCTCACCGCCCGCGCATCCCTGTCACACGGGTTGACTGTATGGCTTCGGTCGGAGACCCATCGTGGCTGGGATCCCCGTAGAAGCGCTAATGGTGTGTTAGCGAATGGCGATGTAGGGAGATCAATTGTAGGAAAGCGCGGTTCGTCGCCGAACCAGTTGTAGGAACGCGTGGTTTGTGTTTTCCTGCAGCTCGCTGTGCCGTTTTCGTTCGATGCAGTCGCACATCTGAGACGCAGGAGACGGTGCTTCGTGATTCCCTACGCGTCGTTCTGCGTGAGCTCGGTGTCACACAAAAAACCATATTCCCAACCGCACCGTGAACCGAGCACGCCGCTAGCGCGGCCTTGGGATCCGGCGTCAGCGAAGGGGCGTCCCGACGGGCAGCGGCTTCGGCCTGGACCTGCCGGCGCCGTCGACGCTCTGCTCATCGAGCGCGTTCCGCTGCTCGCAAAGTTCGCAGGCCTCCAGGTTGACACCAACACCAATATCGGCGGTGTGCCTCCACCGAGGGACGAAGATCCCGATCTCGGTGATCGTGGTAATATTCTGGCCTCCAAGGTGACCGAAATATTACCACCAACGCCGAAACCTAGGATGATTTTCCCCCTGGAGGCAAACCCCCTGTGTTGGTGTTGGTGCCCATTTCCAGGCCTTAAGAAAGTACCTACTCGCAAACGTCCGAACAGAAAAACATGGCGTCCTGTGTGTTGTGTATCGCAAATCCCCCGCGGTGGATCCAGGCCATGTGCGAGCAGTGACTCTGCGAGCAGCGCAACGCGCCCGTCCACCTGCAGTGCAGGGCGGGGCCTGCACGGCCGACCCCGGAAGCTTGAGGGTGCCAGCGCAGAGGCCCCAGAGCGTGGGTTTCATGTGGGCCTTCTGGCTTTACGTCGGGCGTGCCCCTCTACAGGAAGCAAATTCAAAATCAGTAAACGAATAGTGTGGGAATGATTTTTCTATTATTTGTCGATTATTTGGGTGTATGATTTGACATGTTTTGTTCTTCGTCCAATATCCGCCTAGGAGGACATGCCCAACCTAATTCTAATTAGGTTCTACTCCCTATCTTCCTCTTTAACTTCTGTCCTCCAATAACTGCCTCCTGCTCCCCGCTCAGCACTCCCATGCTTTGCACAGTGTTGCTATCTGCTCTATGCCTTCTGGTCTCCGCGCCACTCTCGACCCTCAAGTCTTTACTGGCCAGCCTTCCACATCGATATTGGCTCAAGCCAGAGAGCCGGAGAGTGTTCCGGCAGGTTGCCCCGAGCCGCCGCGAAAGGGCGGAGGCCGTTGGAAGCCGAGATCCGCCGTGGTCGACCCGACGCCATGCCTGCCGACACGGACCGCGGCGACCCCGCCGGCCAGATGCAGTCTTCGCTGCGCCAGACTTGGCGGCGCGCACAAGGGGGTAGGGGGAGGGGGGAAGGCTTCTTAGAAGGAGGCCGCTTCTTAGAAGGCGCCGGCCTTACATCTGCAAAGAAGGCCCGCGCCTTCTAAGCAGCAGGGGTGCTTCTAAGAAGCCTTCCCCCCTCCCCCTACCCCCTTCTGCGCGTGGCCAGCAGACTCTGGTCTGCTTTCCGAAGCCTGCCGGCGCGGCCGGCCCGGCGGCAGCCGAGGCCCCGCGCGCCCCGCCGCCGCACGCCGCCCCCGCGGGGGCGGCCCGCGCCGCCCCGCCGCGCGCGCCGGGCCCGCTGCTGGGCGGCACGCCGCAGGAGCAGCTGCAGGCCCTCCTCGGGGGCCTCTGCGAGCGCCAGCTCCGGGGCCCGGGCCAGCCGCCGCGGCGCGCGGGCCACGCGGCCGGCGGCGTGGCCGCGCACGCGGCGGAGAGCGGCAGCCAGAGGGGCAGCCAGATCGGCAGCGACTTCTCGGGCCAGGGCCACCAGCTGTCGACGGGCTACGCCGGCTCGTCCAGCAGCCTGACGGACAGCTTCACGGGCCCCGTGGAGGCCGGCCGCGCCTGCACCGAGGCGGCAGCCCCGGAGGGCCTCTCCAGCCTGGGCGCCAGCCTGCACGGGCTGGGCCACTGCACGCCGTGCAAGTTCATCCGCTCCCTGCGCGGCTGCCGCGACGGCTCGATGTGCAGGCTTTGCTTCAGTCGGGCCTGTCCCTCCACAGGGGGAATATCCCAAAATAGTCCAAAAATAGTCGGGGGACTATTTTTTTGTTGTTTACTATTTTTGCCCATTTAGGGGGGCATTTCTGGAGTATTTTCTAATTGTTCTGCCAAAATTCCCTTGTAGGGGGACACGCCCGACTTAAGGCTATGCCACGAGCCGCACGAGGAGCTCTCGAGGTCTGGGGTGCGGAAGGCCGCTCGCGCCATAGCCCTGCAGCGCCGCGCCATGATCGAGAAGGCGGAGGCGGCCGCTGCCGCGGCGGTGCCCGCCCGCCCGCCCGAGGACTACGAGGAGGTGTCGGCGGCTCCCTGGTTGCGCCACAACTTCAGCTATGCTCCTCGCCCAGGCGGAGCGCTCTCGACCAGCTCGGCGTCCACGTCTGTGCCGGGGAGCGGGGCCAGCTCCGGCCACGGCTCCGGCGAAGGGCCGCCCTTATATTGCCGGGTGTTCTCGCTGTGAGGCCGGGGATGACGGGGCGGCGCCGCGTGGCCGCGGCATGCCCAGGGCAGCTCAGCTGGTGGCGCGAAACTTAAGTCGGACACGTCCCTCTACGGCAGGAGTATTCAAGAATAGTCAAATCATGCAGCCAAGTCGTTGAAATAAGGAACACTTTGGGTAAGAAAGGGTCTCGATATTCCTTAGGTCCTTCTATGGCTTTTCTTCTAGCCTTCCTCGTGCACGCAGGCGCTTGTGGGGCCAAAAAGGGGCTTCGTTCCTTGTTTATCGTTCCTCCTTTCAGCAGCCCGACTGTAGTGCGGTGACCATTTTTTGAATGTTCTTCGACTATGTTTGAGTATGGTTTGCCCATGTCTCGTTTTTCCTCCACCATCCGCCTGTAGGAGGACATGCCCGACCTAACGCTAAGCATGGCTGGCGGTCCCAGATCAGCCAGCACGTGCAATCGGAGCGCGCGCCCCTATGGTCGCTACAGCGCCGACCCGTCGCTCAGCGCGCCGATTCCTTGGGGAGGGGCGAGAGGAGGAGAGGAGGGAGAAAGAGCCAGAGTTGGAGGAGGGCGCCGAACTCTAATTGGCTGGAGGCTTTGCTGTGGAGCCTCTGGCTAGCAGTGCCGCTGCAGTGCGCGGCCGTGCCGCACATCGATCGTGTTGAGCATCTCTCGGGCGCCAAGGCGCCGCCCCCTGGGGCGCTCCCAGCGACAGGGGGGGGGGGGCGGGGGGCGAGGGCGGGGGGGGGAGCGTGGAGGAGGGGCAGAGGGGGGGGCGTGGAGGAGGGCGTGGAGGAGGATCAGAGGGGGGGCGTGGAGGAGGGGCAGAGGAGGGGCAGAGGGGGGGGGGGGAGTCCTCGGTCCTCCGCGGTCGCCGTGGGTCGAGCCGACGGCAGGGGCGAGTCGCGGCCCGCCACGCCCAAGATAGCATCCTGCCTCGTCGCGGCCCGCCATTCCCAAAATAGTATCCTGCCCGCCGCGCGGCATCCACCCCGAGTCTCGTCTCGCTCCTCTACGAACACCCTCCCTCCTGGAATGGCCAGCCCCCATCTCAGAGCGCCGGAAGGGGCCGTCCACGTGCAGCACCGCTTTCCCCGCGCGGATGGCGCGGGGGACTTCTTCGACTATCGTGTGCTGCAGTCACGTCGCTGCGGGGGAGAAGTGGTTGGGAGAGGAATGGTTGAGAGAGGAGGACGGGGCGGGATGGGGGGCGCTGGCACACCGCGGCCCTGCAAAACATGTGCGTGGAGCCGTGGCACCGACAGGCTCGCAATCAGAAGGCGCTGTTTAGCTAGCCGTTCTCGGCATTCGTGGAGCCCTCCCGCATGCTGTGGACGAACCGTTCTCTTGAGGAACGCGTTTCCATGTTGGCTGGGTTTGAAGGCCTGCCATCTGTACTACTGCGGACTCGACCCCACAGTCTGCACCCCTGTGGGTTGCCACACGTATTCAGAGTCCCGCCATGGCCAAGGAGCCCGCGGTGCTTTTTGGGAATGCCGAGGGGCGAAGAGGCGAGGAGGAGGGAACAGGGGTTATAATGTTCCAACCTACTTTAGCGGAGGGCTTTCACGTGCCGGGGCCTGCGAGGCGATACTCGTTCGACACTGTGTCGATGCTTTTCTGGGTGCTCGAGATTCTTTTTTTGATGTGGTCCTCGAACACGACGGGAACAGCATAGAGCAGAGGGGGGAGCAGGCGGAGGAGGGACGAGCTGGCGAGAAGCAGCCCCCAGGGACGAGCAGGCGAGGAGAAGAGGAGGAGGAGGAGGAAGAGGAGGAGGAGGACGGGGGAGGAGGAGGAGGAGGAGGAGGAGGGAGGAGGAGGAGGAGGAGGAGGAGGAGAGGAGGAGGAGGGAGAGGGGCAGGGGGAGGAGGAGGAGAGGAGGAGGAGAGGGGAGGAGGAGGAGGAGGAGGAGGAGGAGGAGGGAGGGGGAGGAGGAGAGGAGGAGGAGGGAGGGGGAGGAGGAGGAGGAGAGGAGGAGGAGGAGGAGGGAGGTGGGGGAGCAGGAAGAGGCGCCATGAAACTTATTAGCATGTTCGCCCTCGCGCGTACGCGGCTGCGCCCAACAACAGTGCTCTCACACGGTGGCCGCAGAGAGCTGCGCCGCGCTGCCTTGGCGGCGTCAAGGGCGACCTGTTTTGACATTGTCGCCGCTTTTCGTCGTCGTCGTCGTCGTTCTCCTCCTCCTCCTCCTCCTCCTGCTCCTCCTCCTCATTCTCCTCCTCCTCCTCCTCCTCCTCCTCCTCCTCATCATCATCATCATCATCCTCCTCATTCTCCTCCTCCTCCTTCTCCTCCTCCTCCTGTCCATGGCCGGTGGCTTCTGTCCATGGCCGAGGCTCCCTCTCGAAGAAGACGGCATAAACATAAACTTTCGGCGTTCCGCGCTGATTTCTTCGATCCGCGCTGGGGCCCCCCCGGCGGCGCCTCCGGCGCCGCCGCTGGCGCGCTCCGCGCGCCAGGAAGGGGGGTCCGGCGCAGATCCGAGAAATCCGCGCGGAGCGTCGAACGTTTACGTTTACGCCGTTTTTTCTTCTCATGCCTTCCTCTGCGCCTCTTCTTGTGCACCGACCGGGCGGGGGCCGGTCTGGGCGTGTTGCACGCGCCGCGCGCAGCGCGGTGGCGGTAGTGCGGCGGCCGCGCGGGTCGTGTCGTATTCAGTGTCCCCCTACGCTCGGTTTAAAACCCGTTGCGATGTTTTAAGGTCATGGCGGGCGGGCAGCCGCTGGAGCTCAGCCAGTGGCCCCAATTTTTCCAAACGCCCGTCCCCCCCTTCGGTGGCAAATCGTGATTCTGTCTTCAGGGTGCGTTAGCGTCGATCAGCGTCTGGGAGCCGATGAGATAATTAGCGCCGATCTAGCGTCGGCGAGAGTCGATCTGGCGTCGATTCGGCGTCGACCCGCAGGGGCCGACAAGAGCCCGTGAGTTGCCACAGAGCCCCCCTCTCCCTCTCCTCCCCGTCGTCAGCTTCCTGCCCTCTTGCCCCTGCTGGTTCGCACTTGGGCCCTCCCCCCGTCTCCGCTCTCCTCCGCCGTCTGCGCCGCCCGCCCCCCCTCCCGCGGGGCGAGCAACCTGGAGGAGGAGGAGGAGGAGGAGGAGGAGGAGGAGGAGGAGGAGGAGGAGAGGAGGAGGAAAGGGAGGAGGAGGAGGAGGAAAGGGAGGAGGAGGAGGAAAGGGAGGAGGAGGGAGGAGGAGGGAGGAGGAGGAGGAGGAGGAGGAGGAGGAGGAGGAGGACCAGCAGCTCCGGCGGCCGCTTGGGAGGTGCCCTCCCGCGGTGCGGGGCTCTCGGGGGCGGGTGCGCGGGTCTCCGCACGTGTGCGGAGACCCGCCCGCGCACGTGCCTGGCTCCCCTGTGGGCGTTCGCAGTTGCGCACGTCACGCTGCTGGACCAGTACACGCTGTTCATTGCTAATGATTCGAGAATTTTCCTTAATTTTTTTGGGGGGCCAGGATCCTTTCATTTCCAATTCTTCTATCCTGGGCCTCGTCCTGGCCCATGGGGGGCCAGGAACGATTAGAAACGAGCACGATTAGAAATGAGCACGATTAGAAATAAACGGCGTGTAGTCCTACCTTTTCCGTGTCAGTTGCATTCGAGGAAGAAAAAACGCCATGACCATTAACTGTTGGCGCTCCGCGCGGATTCCTTGGATCCGCGTTGGGCCCCCTGGCGGCGCCTCCGGCGCCGCCCCTGGCGCGCTCCGCGCGCCAGGGAGGAGGGTCCAGCGCCGATCCGAGAAATCCGCGCGGACCTCCGAGTTTTTATGTTTATGCCATCATTCGTTTCCCTCTGTATGCCATCTGCCATCTGCTCGTTCCACTGTACAGTCAACCCGCACAGTAATGATGGGCACCCGTCCCAAGGGTACCCCTGCATCCTTGCCTCCTCGGCCCGCCCATCCCTGGCCACTTTTGTTGGCCGCGCCCCGCTCGAGAAGCTTCAAAACGGCCTTCCAAGGCCCTTGCATCCATATCGCGCATCCTGATGATGCGGGACGACTATGCTGTCCTCTCTTGTCCCGCTACTCACTACTCTCAGCTCCCCGCTCTCTATTTCAGACGCTTCGCGTAACCCCACCAGTTTTTCCCGCCGGCTCAGGCGGCAAATTGTCTTGTAAATTAGCCCCGTACCGTGACCTGGACGCCGCTTCCGCTCCCTGTCCGTTGCCTCGGAGCCGCTGACCAAAAAAAAGTAGCCCCACCAGTTTTTCTTTTTCGGCGCTAATTTAGGACGTTTCTCGTTCGCAGTGCCCTGACGCCGCCCGACCTGTTCCTCGCCGCGGTCGCGATCAAAAAATGAACCCCACCAGCGCATCCAGAAACGAAGTCTAGGCGAATTGCCCTGATCAGAGATGTGGAGTCTGATGTAGTGGAAGAAAGGGTTGGGTAAAATGTCGTACCCCAAGAGGGGGAGGATGGAGGAGGAATCGGAGGAAGAGAAAGAGGAGGAGGAGGCGGAGCAGGAGGAGGCGGAGGAGGAGGAGGAGGAAGGAGGATGAATAGTCAGATGAGGAGGAGGAGGAGGAGGAGGAGGAGGAGGAGGAGGGGGAGGAGGAGGAGGGGGAGGGGGAGGAGGAGGAGGAGGGGGAGGGCGAGGAGGAGGAGGAGGAGGAGGAGGAGCAGAAAGGCCAGAGGCCTCTTGGATGCCTCTCGGCGTCTCTGCCGATTTCTTTCGAGATTTTCTTGGAGTCCTCTTGTGGCGTCTTGGGGGTCTCTTGGCAGTCCTGGAGGCCTCTTGGGGCGTCTTGGGTACCTCTGGGGGGGGGCCTCTTGGAGCCTCTTGGGGGTCTCTTGGGAGTCTCTTGGGGGTACCTTGGGGGCATCGTGGGTGCCTCTTGGGGCATCCTGGGTACCTCTTAGAGGCCGTCTTGGGGCAACCTTGGGAGCCTCGGGGGCCGTCTTGGGGCCGTTCTGGAAGAGATTGATCAAAGAAGGGGGGTCTCCTCACTTCGGGTCCCCCACACCCCTGCAGGTCTTGGAAGAGATTGATCAAAGAAGGGGGGCTCCTCACTTG